ACCAAAGAACTACATGTCGTTTTCTAGTACTGATATTTTTCAATTAAACTTACTGGTACTTTTTTATCAACTATACTATTTTATAGCATTACCTCTAAGCTACTGCTTTGTTTAGGGCTATAATGATGTACATAGTAGAAATCTTACTCCTTGTTTACTCTAGAAAAATATTTTGGCTTTTTCCTAACCATTTTTATTCTCTTATTGGATTATTTGCTAAAAGACAAATTATTACTCTATTTCTGCATACTATCATGATTATTAACCTATCAAATGATTTTAAATAATATATATATTTATAGTATTTTTATATATGATTATAAATGAGATTATTTGATTGGCATCGCTCATTAAATTCATTTTTCACTTAGGTATATTCCTATGTTTCAATAACATTGCAGTCATCATCTTCATTAAGGATGACTGTGACGGGCATCTGAGCTTCGCCCTTGAAACAAGTTTCTGTGGACCTCTTAGCTTTTAACTTTTCGCATCAAATGAAACTTTATTTTAATGACTATCTTCTAATAATTAGTCTGCTTGCCATTAAACTTGTTGCCAAGACTTTGATTTCGTATGAAACTGGGTGATGAAAAAATTCTTGGGGTTGATCTGACCAACCCGAACTTCATATTAAGGCCAAATGCCTGTAGGACAACTGTAATCAGTCGTTATTTTATGATGAAATTTACCTACGTATCTCTTCATTCACTTTCATACTAAAGAGTCTCCACAACAATATAATCTCAAGATATTAATCTTAACCATGTTTCCCTATGTAAATATCGAACTATTGAATGAGGCCTTCATGCCTCTTCTATTAGCTTAACTTTTATTCGTCTTTCAATAATATAACTGTGATTTCGTACTTATAGATAGTAGGTCTTAAATAAAAGGAGGTGAAAGATTGTTGGATGTATTTCCCGACAATGATGTAAGTAAGCCTCACGTTTCTATTTAGTTTCACATAGCTTTGCCTTCTAAGAGGCATTAATACCCATAGAAAATTCAACCAAATCAGAGACCACACTATATTGTAGAAAAACTGGGTTTTGAAGAATCCTTTTATAGATTGATGTTGGAATACCTTTTCTTTCATTTGATGAGATGAGTTGAAGGGATCCGTAAGTTGGTTCCACCGGAAGTTGAGGCGATTGGTTTTAGGTTTGTACGAATCGGTCCTCAGCGCACCACCCTGCGACTCTGAATCTTTGCTGAGCCTTCGTCCATCATGTGACGGACACTGTCAGAGCGCAACACCATGCTTAACGATAATTCAACAAAAACACGAATGCAAGCAAGGGGCCACATTTTTTGCTTGTACCAGTCTCTATCCTTGCATATTCTTGATATATTTCTGTGTTTTTTGAGCTAATTGATTTTAAGATCTTTATAAAATTTGGTTTAATGTTGCATCTATTTTCGTTGCACACCCTGTATGGATTTTTTTTCTTTGCTGACCGAACTGGATTTATCTGTAACTTTTTATTATCAAAGAGAAAATGGCCTGTATTATTTTTTGTTGAACCTATATATGAATTTAAAACACTACTTTTAAGTTACATGTACTCTGTATGAGTTAAACTCTTCAGAATAGTTGCTTATTTAACAAGCCCTGCTTTTTTTAAATCCGATTCCACCTAGTTATACGAAAAGATTTTAATTATTCCTCCCTATCAAACACAAATATAATTTTTTGACTTCGTATCTTCTATATCAATAATTTTTCCAACTTATTTTTTGGCGATCCACCTACTTCCTGTTTTTGCGTTGTTTTTTAATGGATGCACATTTTTCATATTGAGAGCCTTATTTTATTAAAAATAGTTTTAAAATATCTAGCAAAATAATTATTTGTTACAGTTAATAAACTTTTTTATAAAGTATTTTATTTATCAATCCTTTAAGCGCAATCCCCTCTTTCCTTCCTTAACTTTATCTATATCATTTTTATTATTTTTTTACTTAATGCTAGTTTATTTTATTTATTGTACAGATGGGCCTGATCGCGAAACTTTGTTCAACCGACATGCTATAAAGCGATTTTTGTTACTCGTCTGGTTGTTGGACTGCTTCAAACGACATCACATCAACCCTTTTGACCCCTGCCTATTTCGACTCAAATGTGCTATCAAGGTTATCATCTTGTTCGATTTGTCTGCTAAGCCCTACTTAGCTGCAACAGTGAAATGATATTTTTAACCTATATAAACTTTCTTTAAAACTCATAATTTTTACAATGCTGATAATATTTTTCAGCTTTCACTACTTTTTAATTGAAATTTTATTGATCACCTTAATTTATTTAGCATCTCACTCCATTTCGAATATTAGATTAGATATGCTTTTGTGCTAAAGGAATGCCTAAAAATTCTAAATTTATTTATACCTCATACCAGCATGGTCATTTTAAACTTTTGACAAACAGCTTATCAAAAAATCCACAACATAATAAGGCGATAGAGGTTGTTTGACCTTGTTTTCGCAACTCGGTCATGTTGGTAGGAAAACATAGAGAAACGCACCTAGTCCGGAGTCCATTGTCTGCATGATAATTTCCAAAGTTGAACCATGGACGTGGTACATTC